TTGGCGCTTCTCTTTATTATATGAACCAGCCCTCTCATTAGCCATTTGGGTGTACATATTCTAGGCAATTAGAATCTAGGATGCTCACAAGAACTTATCTTACTTTCTTACTGTGTCTCTGTCTTCTTTTTTAGGTTGACATCTACCTGTCACTTTCTTCATCATATGTCTATGCTTTTAAAAACATTTTATTTGTCTACTTGTTATTGTTTGTTTTCTCCTGCTAGAGTGAAAGTTTCCTGAGCTCAAGGACTTGTCCACATGCTCATCACTGTATTCACAACTCACCTAGAATAGTGCTGAGTGGACCAGGAAGAACTCAACAAGTATTTGTGGTTTTTTATGTTTAAAAAAAAAAAAAAAAAAAAACCTACCCTCAAAGAGGGAGCAAAAGAAATCTTATCCTCCTAATGTGGAAGAAAAATGGTAATTGCCTTGAAGGGAGGGCAAGCTTTAAGAAATTAAATGCAGGGAACATGAGTTTTGTGGTTAAACAGAATGTTCCCAAGTTCAGTCATCCTTAAAAGCTGCAGGAGACTGCCCTGTTCTTCCAAGATAAACATACTTGAGAACTACTTTAAGAGGGAAAACAAGAAAAATAAGCTTCTGGTGCTCATTTTAGGTTGACTAATTTCCTCAATAAGAAAACATGCATAAAATGAACAAGCAAGTTATTTGATGTATCAAATGATTAAGTGCGAACTGAGGAAGCTTTGAAGGAGCTGCTACATAATCCCCAGGGGAGGATCTGTAGACAAATAACCAGACCATCCCTTAGAAATAGATTTCTCCAACAGGGGAAAAAAATAGAAAAGCATATGTCTTACACCTGTGTAGAGCTACTTATAGTTTCAAATATCCAAAGAAAGAAAATGATGATATATTAATCTTCAAGAATGTTTAAAAGTATATTTGTGTAAAAAATTAAATGTTTTTTGAGATCAACACATAGAGTTAAGGGTTACATCACTGGACTCCCATGTAGTCACTCAAGGTTTTAGTACTGGATCCAGTGGCTTAAAACTCATGTCGAGTATGTGTGCATGTGTGCCCAAAATCCTGAGAAGTGAATGGAGGAGAAAGGATTATGGCATGCCATCCCCCTGGGGGTGATTTCTCACTTTCTGTCTCTCTATCTGTCTCTCTAGTGAGCACTCACACCCTATTGCAACAATCTCTCTTAAAAAGAGAGAAAAAAAAGAATTAAATGGTTTCTGAATATGTTACAACCAGTATCCCCAACCACTGGCACCACACATTGGTGGTGCTTAGTGGCCTTTTTGGAGCCAGGCTGTGTAACAGTGGTGGTCCCCCAGGCCACAAAATAGGAGGTGGGCAGGTGAGCAAGCAAGTCTTTGTCTGTGTTTGCAGCCACTCCCCATCGCTTACATTGATACTGTGCTTCCTGTTGGATCAGCAGCAGTACTGGATTCTCATGGAAGAGCAAACCCTACTGCTGTGTGACTGTTTCACTATATGTTGTGGTAGTGGTGAAAATGAGGTACATAGTAGATATGGTGTGCTTGAGTCAACCTGGGACCAAATGCACTCCCCCCCACCACCACCACCCTCTCTGTGGAAAGACTGTCTTCCACAGGCTGGTCCTTGGTACTGGGAAGGTTGAGGACTACTGTATTACAAATAATAACAACAAACATTTAGCTGACTTTATTTATTTATTTGGCTTATTTAAAATATTATAAATGCTTTATATACAGGGCCAATTAGTGGTGTAGCGGTTAAGACAGCTAAATTCCACATTGTCAGTTTGAGTCCTGGACTCAGTGGCATGAGACACACACTGGGCACATGTGAGTCTATGTCCCAAATCCCAAGAGAAGAATGGAAGAGACTGAGGTATCACCATCCTCCCTGGAGGATGCTTTTACCCCTATCTCTCCAGTGACCGCATGTACCCTTTAGCAAAAATTACAGATACATACATAACAAAATAAAAAACAAATGCTTATATATATTTGTTTACCTCCTGTAAGGTAAACAACCTATGCCTACATTGACTACAAAGGCAGAGACAGTCTAAACAATTTGTCTGAAGTCACTCAAATTGAATTTTACTCTAAAATATAATATTTTGTTTGTGTTTGGAAAGATTTTTGATATAGGGCACGTGCCCTCACCAGAGAGACAGAGAGAAACAGACAGGAAACAAGGAATCACTCCCCAGGAAAGATGGCCATACCACAATCCTTTCTCCTCCATCCTCTTCTTGGGATTTTGGGCATGCAAGCACACACAACTAGTGTAAGATTTAACCCACTGAGTCCACGTGGGAGACCAGCAATGTAACCATTACACCATCTGCTGTTCCCAAAATATGCTTTTAACCTCTGAGTAAATGTTTCTGTGTTCCCTTTATGAGAGACAGAGAGGGGGAGAAAGAGAGGAAGAGAGAAGAAAAGAAAAAGAGACAGAGAGAGGAATTTTTGACAGGGCTTGGCTCTGTCACTATCCTCCTGCTGCAGCCTCTCAATTAGCTAGAATTACAGGCATCCATAGCTGTGCTCAGTGTGTTCAGGTTGGCCTGGAACCAAACCAGGACCTCCCATGTAGCCTCCAGTTTTGGTAAATGCTTCTTGAGGGATGTCAGTCTCCTGAGTGCATATCATGTATCAAGTTCAGTGCTAAGCATCATGGAGATTATGAACTTTGAAAGATATCTAAATAAATCTAATCACTATTGTTTAAACTCTGATCCTACATATATCCACCTACTACATAACACAGAATTAAAAAGGAAATGCACACCCTATACCCTGTTGAATTTCCATTGAAACTCAAAGGTCTGCCTGACGGGTTCATGTAAATCATCTTCTATTATACAGTTAGCCTGGGTCAGGCCCCTGGTTATGTTATTAGTATGAGTAAGTGAAAACACACAAGTCAGCTATGTAACCTGCAAGGCACCTGGTTCTTGCCTTTTTTACTAACCTGTAAATTAATTTTAAATTACAGGGAAAACAGCATCAAATTACAAATACAAATAATACTGTTCCTAAAAACTGTGATCTTAATAATCTTATAAGTAGAGGGGAAAAAAAAAAACCACACATGACCCAGAGTAGTATCTATACAGTATGCTGTTTTAAAAACATCAAATAAATAAGAGTTGCAGAATTGTAAGCAATGTTTCCTATGGACTAGGGGAAGGCTATATTCTAACTAACTATGAAGGACTCTGTGTTCAGCACATACACCTGAAGGTGCTTTTAGGGTACAGCAAGTGAGCCAGTGAGGACTCCAATGTATGCATTAATCTCAAGTCGATAATTTATGGCCAGTGAAATACTTCTCAATGTATCACACTACAGATTAAAGGTTGTCATTTAACTTGTCCTCGTATAAATTCTGTGCTCTGCATAAAAACAGTCAAATAGAACAAAACTACTGTCCGCTGCCATGGTATTTCTAAAATATTATCTTCACTTTAATCCACTACTTCAGCAAACTTGAAGGTTAAAATAAGGCTGAGGGACCAGCAGACAGTGTAATGGATACGTTACTGGACTCCCACATAGTCAATCATAGTTTGAGTCCCAGACTCAGATGCTTAAAACTCATGCCAGGTATGTGTGCGTGTGTGCCCCAAATCCCGAGAGGAGAATGGAGGAGAAGGGACTGTGGCATGGCCATCCTCCCTGGTGAGTAATTTCTCACTTTCTGTCTCTCTGTCTCTCCAGCAAGCACATATGCCCTATAGCAAAAACCTCTCTTAAATAAATAAATAAATAAGGCTGATAGATTGTTTCTGAAATGATACAATAATCTAATAGTTAAGCCATGGGACTGGTTAGTGGGTTAGCAATAAAATATGATGCTTTTCAATGCTGACCCATGGGAAAGGTCCCAGGTTCATGTCCGAGACCTCCAAGTATGATGCCAGGCATGTATGTGTCCATGATCCAGGGCTGGCTGAAGCAGGGGGTAGATTACAGTGTCAAGACTCTATTGGGGGTGGTGCCTCTCCATATGTCTTACACACAGAAGAAATAAATAAAATAAAATTCTAAAAAATGTACAAAAGTCAATATAATTAAAGAACATCCACAATACTTTAATATTTGAGATTGCAATTTAGAGAATTAAGAGAGGAACTCAATAGAGGCCATACACACACACTAGAAACAAAATGAAACAAATAATAAGAGGAAAGGGACATAATGTATCCAAAGGTAATACAGCTAAAAGGTAAAAAGTATTAAATACACATGTCACTGAATTTACATTTATCCTTGACTTTTGCTCCTCTGGAATCTAAGTTATTAACACATCACAATACAATATAAATGCCATTTGGAAATGTCCCAAGGTATCCAGATATATAGAAAGAAAGAAGCATTAGCATTCACTGACTCATTTAATTTCATCAACATCTGATAATTATTAAGTCCATTTATCAAGCCTCATAAGATTTATATAAACTAGATAATTTTACCTTACTGTCACAGCCCAAGAAATAGTTAATGTTTAAAGCCAACAGTTATAAAATTACAATTAGTCCTGATACTATTTTTCTAAATAATCTTATCTTATAAGAGACATACAAACTAGATAAATTTATCCGGCTGCCACAGACCAAGAGACTGTGTGTGTTTAGGTCAAAGTTCCAGAAGTGCAATTAGTCCTACTACTATCCTACTGAATTATCTTCAGGGACAAAGTTCCACCACCAATCTGATGTATGGGACATGAAATATTTCTAAATTAAGACAGACTATATATGTCTGAAGATAGGAAAAAAGAAGGCCCTAGGTGGGAGCTTCAGAAAAATCAGCATCAATGGAAATGATGTGGAAGTGAAAGCAGAATCAATTAGAAGGTCACCATGAAACAGACTGCTCTGATATGGAATTTGGAATCAGGGACAGAGTTCATAATGAGTAGAGATGGAACAGGCGTCAGGTGTTGCAGGGTGAGGACACCACATAAGGAAAGACACAAAGAGTGCAAATTGTGAGATGTATTTGGGAAAAAAAACGGCTGCCTTGATGGTTCAGAGAAGTGAGTATAAAGTACAAAGGGGAGACTAAAAGGAAATAAGTATGCAAGGGTAGGTAGAATTGTATCACAAAGGCCTGAATTCAGGCTGATGAGCCTGTGACTAGTTTGAGTGGCCATCCCCCCTGGCGGGTCATTTCTCATTTTCTGTCTCTGTCTCTTTCTATCTTTCTGGCAAGCACAAGCGCCCTATAGCACAGACCAAGAGACTGTGTGTGTTTAGGTCAAAGTTCCAGAAGTGCAATTAGTCCTACTACTATCCTACTGAATTATCTTCAGGGACAAAGTTCCACCACCAATCTGATGTATGGGACATGAAATATTTCTAAATTAAGACAGACTATATATGTCTGAAGATAGGAAAAAAGAAGGCCCTAGGTGGGAGCTTCAGAAAAATCAGCATCAATGGAAATGATGTGGAAGTGAAAGCAGAATCAATTAGAAGGTCACCATGAAACAGACTGCTCTGATATGGAATTTGGAATCAGGGACAGAGTTCATAATGAGTAGAGATGGAACAGGCGTCAGGTGTTGCAGGGTGAGGACACCACATAAGGAAAGACACAAAGAGTGCAAATTGTGAGATGTATTTGGGAAAAAAAACGGCTGCCTTGATGGTTCAGAGAAGTGAGTATAAAGTACAAAGGGGAGACTAAAAGGAAATAAGTATGCAAGGGTAGGTAGAATTGTATCACAAAGGCCTGAATTCAGGCTGATGAGCCTGTGACTAGTTTGAGTGGCCATCCCCCCTGGCGGGTCATTTCTCATTTTCTGTCTCTGTCTCTTTCTATCTTTCTGGCAAGCACAAGCGCCCTATAGCAAAAACCTCTAAAAAAAAATAATAAATAATAATGAACAGGAGCAGCAGGTGATGTGGTGTTAAGGCACTTGGATTCCCAGATAGTCGACCACAGTTCAAGTACCAGGCTAAGAGTCTTGAAAATCACACCGGAGAAATATGCATGTGTGCCTAAAATCCCAAAAGAACAAAGAAGGAGAAGGGATTTTCTTCAGCCTGGCCATCCCACCCCGGAGATGACACATAAAAATTAATGATCCCCTGGACTCTGTTCTGTTTCCTGGAATACTTAATGTTGGTCTGTTAAAATTACTTCTATAGGGGTCCAGCAGGTGACATGGTAGTTAAGGCACTGGACACTCCCACATGGCCAACCATGGTTAGAGTCCTGGAACTGGTGGCTTGTTTTCTCTCTCTCTTTCTCCCCCTCTCCCACTCCCTCTCTCTGTCTCTCTCTTTAAGGTCAAATAATTAAAATAAATGCATGAATAAATAAGAATTACTTGTATATACATGGATATAATATTGCTGTTTATATTATATTTTTAATATTTTAACCCAAGATATGAAGAATACACATAGTCAAAATCACAAATAACATAAAAATCCAAACTAGAGTGCTGGAATGTTCAAACAAGTAGATGTTTTCTACAATATGACGTGATGGGATGAAATATCAACTTTAAAAACAAAAGAAACAGAGTCTACTAACTATAAGGCCTCATAGCCTTACTGGGAACTACTGATTATCACCATTTTACAGGTGAGATGACACAAAAATACCATACGCAAGGACAGTGACAAAACTCAGGTTTATCTGACTGAAAAATAATCTTTTTTTCTTTTTTTTTAATTTAAATTTATTTATTTACATTCATTCACTATACATCATTATGGCATACAAAATGAGATTTCCCATCTAGAATACACTGTATATTGGCTCAATCAAGCACATCAACATATGTGTTATCAACAAATAATTTTCCATTTCTTATTTCCTGTATATTTTGCTTTTTTTTTTTTTTTGCCATTCTTGATTCCCTATCCCTCACCCTCTGCCGTGTCCCAGCCTCCTCCCACAATCTCCTCTTTTTTCTACAACATTACAGTTGAACAAACAACAAACTATCGGCTACAACCATTAGAGAGGAAATCAATATTGCAAGTCATGACCAGTATATATTTGGTAATGAGGTAAAATACACAGTATCAGAGAGCCTAGCTATAGTAAAGGTATGCATATTCTTTGTGTGTCTTTATTGGGATAGAATATAAAATGTATTTCTTACTTTAGATTTTAGCAAAATAAATTGGAAAGCTACGACACTACAAGATCCTCAAACAAAATGCAGATAGACACTATTCAGCTTACTCCAAGAAACAAATACATTTTACTCTAAAGTTCCAATATCAGTTACTCTGGGCTTTGCACATGATGTCTAAATAGAACAGTTAATTTAATAATTCCTCAAAGGTGGAATAACCAAAGTCAGTAATTAACATTGATACAGGTGAAGTCTTGGATTTATACATACCCCTCAAAGATAGATTAAAAAGTATTTTTTAAACAAAACATCATAAATTAATGGAGCAATTTTATTTTTTTAAAAAAAATGGTTTATTTTATTTGCTTATTATTATTTTTTCACATGAGTTTTGCCAGAGAAAGACAGAGAAGAGGAGAGTGAGAAAACAAGCCACCAGGTCCATGACTCAAACCATGGCTGGTCATGTGGGAATTCCAATCCCTTAACCACCATGTCACATGCTGCCCTCCCTTTTCTTTTTAAGAATTATTCGTTTTATTTATTTATTTATTTTCTATTTTAGTGGGGTTTTTTTTTGGGGGGGAGGAGTTTTTTTTT